ACCATGTAGAGTTGTGTAATTGAGTGCTACCGCAGTAGTGCACGCCGAATGGAGTTATTGGGTGACCTAGTCAACGTACGAATAACTGAATGGTCGGAAGGGTTCCAGGGACAGCGGGAGGGGGTTACATGCACCGATGATGTGTGTGAGTCCTACGTGGCTGAACTAGGTGGCGGTATGACGACCAACGAATTAACGGACGTGAATCAACACGAATCACTGCGGGATTAGCACGGATGAGACTGTAAGTGGTCGACCTCGGAAGTGTGAAGAGGGGCCGAATCACGAGTTTGCGAAGAAGTGGTGACTTTCCAAGCATGTTGAATAGTCAACAGCACCTAGAAATTTTGTGAAGACGTTTAAATCGATTAGTCCAAGCAAAATTTAGTAAGGATAGAAATGCTCTACTGTCTTCTCATTGTTATGTGCTATTTTTCTAATAGGTCCACAAATTCCCTTGTGAAAGCACCTCAACGAAAGAGCAGCAGATGTTGATTTGAAAATAACGCTTCTCTTCACTGCATTTACGCCGGTTTTTCGGTTGGACAATGATAACCTTAGCAGCGCCGAATAAGGTGATAATTTAAAATCAATTTCTGAACCAAAATGTCGATACAGCAGAAAACCAATAAACTGCCCACATTTGGAGCCATACCAGGTCTTCATACAACCGAAACTAGTTTTTTTTTGCAATTTGTAATAATCACCTCTCGAAATCAAATTATAAACCAGATTTAATTATGTCAAGCGAAAGCCTTCATTACACACAAGTTTAAATAATTTTAACTTCCCCTCTTTTGGCAATTGAAAACCTAACCGTCTTAACTCCCCACAGATTGAGTCACATAAGAGATTAAAAAATGGACGTGTGCGGTTGGTCGAGGTTTTTTTAAACAAATTAAATCAAATTAAACCCATGCCACCGCCGCCACCATCACCACCATCGTTATCGTCATCGTTGTGGAGAAACTGCTTTTAGAAACAGCTAATTTGAAGATAGTTTTTCTAAATTATGTCACTAAATTGAGGACTTCAGGCAGAGGACATGATTTCTGGAATCTCCACGAAATCAAGCAACGTTTGCAGGAGAGGAAAATGTAGAAGCGGTCTAACCTACCGCGTTTCACGTCCCCAAATTAGAAATTGATCATCCCCTGAGGCGGAAATGCTTGTCCACTAAGTGGCACATTTTCGGAATTTTAACGAGTGTTATCTTCAGGTAGAAATGTTCGTTGTGTTTTTAAGACAAAATAAACTGCGTTTTTCTATTATGGAAATGAAACTTTTTCTCTTGAGTTTAACAACCACCCAAATTGTCGAAAGTTGAATTAACGTCATTCCCATCAGACAAAGGACATGGCCGATTAATGAAAGTTTATTCAAAGTTAAATTAAATTACCTGTTTTAAAAATTAACCCATCAAACGAACACAAATCTAGCTAGACATAATGACGTAAATCAGGAAAATAAAAAATATTTCATTTCATTTCCTTATTCATTAACCAACCTAAAAAGGTGGCTAATTCGCCCGTTCGTGTTCCCACTTATTTGCAATTGGTGGTTGAGTTTGTGAGTGCAAAAGAAAAATTGTTAATTTTAGTAGCAAATTTTGTATGTTACTCAGAAGGACTTTGTGAGGCTTGCCTTGTTTGCATCCAATGCAACAAACAAGGAAATCCAAAACGTTTTGGAATTGTGAATAATAATACAACAAAATCTAATCGTCCGCTGCCCTTACAAAAGTGTTTAAAGGAATTAGATCTCCTTACGCAAACTTTCATGACTACCTAGGGAAGACAAAATTTCGACTGTTTTTCGAGCCTTCTTAACAGTCAGGATTTTTGAAATCTAAATTTCAATCTAGCAAACATTCGCAATCACTGTTGTGTGAAAAATGCACCAGTTAACAATGCACACATGCTTTGGGAAGCAAAAATCGATATTGTAGTGATTCAATTGGATATCTAGAAAGTCCCATTCTGATTGGCTAACAAAGCCTATGAACAACAGCGTTTACGGTTTCCGAGAGCAAAATGAGGATTTTGAACTAACTTGCGTGGACCTTGAACACATCAATCAAGAGAAATCGGTAAGCAATTGGGGTGTACTTAAGAGCCACCCATAAAAAAACAGGAAAGCGGTGTCTGCCAAAACAATGGGCGGTGTTTTTGTTTGTACAAGTCGCCAGAAAAAGCTTGATTAATTGGTAATTTAATTTAAACGCGAAGCTAATCTGTTATGCTCCGTAATTATTGCCTCTTAGACAGCATTACCAGGAATTTAGAAATGCGATGCTGGAAATTTGGTGAATTATGAACAAATTCCTTGAAGGCTTCAGCAAGTTCAAGGATAATGGCTTGGCTGTTTTGGATTTGCAATCTTAATTGCAGCGTTTTTGGGGTTCAAGTATTAAGTCTTCAGATTTATAAATTAACATTCGCTGTACTTGAGAACGTCTATTATCGTCTAACGCATTGACCAGATGATGTTGAAGAAAAGAGGGTTATAAAGCAACAATATTCCGGTCACTGTAACTGCGCTTCGAACATTAGCAAGATCACTGGAAATGGATTGGAGGTGGCCAAATGGTATTAATTTTAACGAAAAAGCTTCTCATTTTTTTTCCTTACCGGTACTTGAAGTGTAGAATTTTTAAATTTTAATGTACCATAAAATCTGACCAATAGTTCATTGCTCTTTTAAACAAGCGTGCAGCCTAGTTTGAAGTCTCTGGCAAAGATTACAATTACTTGACATTCCCCACCCCATGGCGTCCCCAATAATTTTTTGAACCCGTCTGTTCTTCGAACATAGTGTAATATCTACCTGTTGGTCATGGTTTATTCATTGTTTTACTATCCTGCTTTCGCTGTTACATAAATTGATTTATCCAGTAGCAGTACGTGCCCCTATTTATTGTATTCATTCACTGCTTAACACTTGTTATTTTCTCTACTTATTGCCGTAATATTTATTACTTATAACAAACTGCATAAAAGCTTTTAACTTTCCAGACTGCCTTTGTCGTTCTTTGTTTTCAACGAGTCTGTCTGTTAGTGCCTAAGTTGTTATTTGCACGAAACGCATGTAGCCAATCAGCTACTCCTACGACTAATTTGTCTATTCAGCCAATTTAGTTGCTCCTAGTTCATCAAAAAGCTACTTTTAAACAGCTTTACTACTCATTTACGAAAACTATCCACTAAAAAGTTGTGGCCCAGCTTCTTGAGTCTTATCGGTCTTCCCACGTATTTTCGTTAGGGCGTTTTAAAGGTAGTAAAACCACTGAATCAGCAAATCTGTTTTTACATTAAAAAACCATCGAAATGAGATAATTTAAATGACTAAGTTGAAAGGGAAGAAACCTCTCAACAAACTAGTCAGCAAAGTCGATTTCGAGGAAAAATTAAAGTGGTGACTATAACACGTGCCAATTACTTATAAGGATAATTAACATTAGCTTTGAAAAACTGTAATGATTAACTAAATGGGTTGATTAAAAATACAAAATCAATTTGAAACTTGGGAGTCCGAAACATTAGTTTACAAGTAAAATAAGCGGGAAGATGATAGGACTCAGGAAACAGGGGCAGTTTTCCTGCAGGACTTGTCTAATGAATAAGTAATTTTTTTAATGCACAGAATCGTATTAATAAGAGGCAGACCAGTTCTTCTTATTACTCGGTAAACTTTAAGGAATCCCGAAAAAAGAGTGCTGAAAAGGACAGTTGACTATGCATGGGATTTGCTTAAATGGCTTAATGACTGAGGAAATAGCCATGAAAGAAGTTGACCTGAGTTGTAATACCAATGGTATTTTAAAATAGAGATTGATACAGAAATATGGGTGTAAATGAGTGAAAATAAAGGACAAACAAAGGCAAACAAGCCAGTTCAGCATGCCTGGAAGCACAAGCATAAAACGCATATGTCGTTATTAAATTTAATGAAAGCTCCACAATAAAATCAAGGTCGTGATATTCAAAAAGGTTTATTTTTGCATTCCATTTGGTTTTAATCTGCCACGATCCACTTTCATGTGTCACGAAATCCCAGATGAAGCTGGAAGATATGTGTGGTCATAAATGTTCCCTATGATCAAAGACGTCATAGCGATTTAGACATTATATAATTTAAAAATGACGATTATTTTAACTACTTAGAGACTGCTGTCTCAAGTCACTCAGTTTTACTAGGAAATTGTCGAAAGTTATGAAAAACTCAAAAAATTGTCGGAGTTTTTTTTAAATCAGCGTATCCTTCATATGCGAACGAAACTTATCAATGAATTAACTTATATGATTATGCAAAATTCAGGCTACGGCTTTCACACCTATCACAGAATAACAGGTACAGACTCTATAGTGTTAAAATTTAAAATATTGTGAGCTTTTATAACGAAGTTAGCACAAGCGCATACAACGCTGATTATACTTGCAAGCATTTGATAACTTTTACGCTACATATACCATTAACATAGCTCATCATTATTTTCACTTAAAGCAAAAAAATAGTTTTGTTTTTTCAAAGTGCTCTTTTCTGCTATTGGACGAACGCGCAGGAGCTCCTTTGAATTCATTTTTTTTCTTTTGCATCTGTTTGTCACAGTCTACTTGAGGTGATGTCTTTCTACCAATGATATATTATTTTGTTCGCGATCTTACAACGATCATTCATAATGTCATCAAGTGGTGTGCTTCTAAAGGCCTGAACCAGACTTTATTAAAATTCCTGTCGAGTTTTTGAGTAAATTAATATTCCCATGTTCCATGCTTTTAATCTAAAAAGACTTTGAATGTCTCTGCACTTATTAATAAATAGGGTTGATTAGCAATTAATGAGGTGTGCTTTTTTATTGACCTCTGGTTTTATAAAAATCATGTTCTGCTGTCATTTTCGTCCCTTAATCATAATGTAAGTCATATCTTCTGGATCTTCACAGCTTCCGTAGACAAAAAACAACAAATTCATGGCAATATATATTTATTAACAAATGTTCAATGTATCCTCAGTCGCAGGAACTCGATGACGAGTTCTTTGCTGGTTTCCTTGAATGGGTTTTCTGTGAAAATTTCCTTCCCTGGTCCTTCGATTTAACTAAGCCCCGTAATGTGTGTTAATTCGCATCTAAGCATCCATAAGTTAAGTTTCCTCGATTATATAGTGGTGACGGTGACGAAAAACCACGGTTTAGAGTTGTTTCCTTCTTTTCCTTCTGTAGTTTCCATTTCCAGTTGGAGGTGGTAGTTTTTTGCCTTACCAAGACCTCTCTGAAAGATACGGACTTTAACTGTCCGGTCTGTATGACATTGGTCCCGAACAGTCGTCATGTAGGATAATCCTCCTCGCTTTCGAATATCTAATTACGCGTTATCTTGCAAATGAATGATTTTTTTCAAATTACCCTATACTTTACCTTTATTTCCTTTTTTTGTTATAGGCGCTGTCATGCAGCCCAAACTTGCTTACTTTCCATCCTGTGACCTTAAACCTAAGTTCGAAGGAAAGTCCCTGTTACCGCTCCTCCGAATGTATGTTTGCGCTAAATTAATCTTACCTATCCCCAGAACCACTATTAGCGGATTTAAACCCGAAGACTTCAAAGTTCTAAACGGTCGTTACAGCAGTCTATCGTGTTATGGTGAAGTTAAGCTGGCCTACTGTATCGTCCAGAGTATTCCGTACCTTAAAAACCGTCGATTTGGCGCTTGGAGTCAAACGCGCACAGTACGGGATATGCACGCAGATCCGTTGGTCCTAAATGAGTGCATCGAGTTGCCTCTTCCGTATTCGTCACTTTATGATTACTCCGGAATTTGCTTTATTCTTTGCTCCACTTTCACCGACGACAGTGGCGTCCACAATCAGATTCTGGCCGGGTGTCATCTCTCTCTATACAACTCAAAAAAGTAATCACACTTCTTGTTTCCGTACAAACTGCACATTTTAGGATTTTCCGTTGCTCAATTTATGAACTGGAAATGCATTTACTATATGATCATAACCTGCGAAGTTTCGACGATGCCTTGAAGCATGTTCTGGAAAATAACATTTCAGGGAAACCAAAAGATCTACCAGAATTGAATCACTTGCTCAAAGTTACTCGGAAGCACCTTCGTGGGGAATTGTTTGACTCTCTTCTGGACCAGAAGACTCAATCCGTCGTAGTGCCAAGAATCGAGGAACTGAAACGTGACAGTGGGAGAATTTTTCTCGGTGTTAAATTCGAGTTTTCTCGATCCTATCCATCTCTATATTTACCTGTGATCTTTGAGCGTCCTGTAAGTAGTGGCATAGCTGTTTTACTATTCTATATTACCCAGATAGCCCTTCCTGGTTATTTTGTGATGGTCCACTTGCTTCCGCCACTTTTTTGAAGTATCCTGACGTAAACTACAGCAATAATGTAGCTCTAACCTTTCCAGTCGTAAGGTGACCGCTGTACACAACTAACTAATCCAATTTTTCTTTCAGACTATAACTCCAAAAGAGGACCACTGGCCAGAAAAGGTGAGTTCGCATGCCAGTCGCATCAACCAATCTCTTTCTAGTGGAATCCGGTTGACGAGATGTACTTCAAGATGACTCGAAACATTCGCACAGTCGATGTAGACAGGGAGCGAGCGCCTAACAAGGAGACTTGGGATAAATTGAAGGTGCCTTGCGACGACCCTTATGCATTACAGTCAATTTAGGCTATAATAGAACAGGGCTACGGTGAGGTGCTCTCAGAACAGGAAGGTGATTTAGTCTGGAAGTTCCGATTCTTTTTGGCCAACAAATTTCCTGAGGTAATGGCTGTTTCCCTTCTGGCCTCATGTTGCTTTCTGTGCGATTTTATTAACTGCACTTTTGCCGTGAATTTGGCCAGGACGTGAACTTGAGTGGTGTTTTCACATTTAGGCTGAAGGCCGGCACCATGCACGTCGTGTCGACATATCCCTTTGCCCCGTTACATTGGAGCGTTACCGCTGTTTATGATATCACACTGTTATTGCTATCAAAGTTCCCAGTTCACTCAAATATTTACTCTACTTACTGCTATTTTACAAGTTTATGAAATTATGCCTCGTGTTCGCTTTTGCGGTTTACAGTCTAGCCCTGTTTCATCGTTGCCCCATCTGCTTGTTTTTTTCCCCCAAGTAAATAATGCGAGTTGTGTTGATTCGTTACCTTGTTTCTACAGACGTCTATACCGAAATTTCTGCAGTCAGTCAGGTGGGAGTATCCGGAGCAGGTGAGTCAGGCGGTCCAACTGCTCCTCGCCTGGCCACCGGTCTCTCCGGAGAGTGTTCTCGAACTCCTCACCCGCAGCTTCACCCACGCCGTCTGCAGGAAGTTCGCTGTCTCTCGACTCGCAAACGCCACTGACGAGGTATGTCCACCTACGCGTGGAGTCTTTTCTTCCACACCAACCAGAGCCATTTCTCTGCGTTGATCTCAGGTCCGCACACAGGCTCATCTTTACTTTTAAAATGTCACCGAGTCTTCCTCGTGGAAGGAGCAAATGAGATTGTTGTGGTGGATCTAAATGTTGGAACGAATCATCATACGGGACATCTTCCGCCAACAGTCCCACGTGGGGTTTTGTCTTTCCAAGTGACGTATTTCGTTTTTTTCATAGTTACGGTTTCAGTTTTCTTTGGTGGTTGGGTAGTTTTGTTGCCTCTGCATTGTCATTGAGTAAATAAATCACCATTTTTACTACTCAATTCTTCAGCAAATGTTTGCAGTGTAAGGCACTACTACTACTACAATGCAGATGTGCCATCTTCCTGTGGTTACAAAGTCTTGTCTCACTTCTCTGTGCTCGGCAATAGGGATAACCGGGGTTCGTTTACGTGAAGCCACAGTGCCCTAGGCAGTGAATTCTCAGAAACCACTTTTGTACGTTTCCAAGTTGTCCAGACTGATGCACGGATTCCTTCCAGTTCTGCGTCAATCGCTCTAAATCATAATTTCTTCCTGCCCAGTGAATGGCGTTCACACAACCATCATTGTGAATTTTAGTCACCAATCCCTAGTTGGTGCCTCAGTTTTACTAACGCCTCTGAAGTGAAATATTTACTTCCATATGTGATGGAAAATGACAATGATCGGCGTGCTGGGGTTCCTCCTTTAAAGTGATAGTTATCACTGGTGGATTCTGTGTTGTGAAAGGCTCTGGACTAGCACCAACGAAAGTGTACACTGCGTTGCCGCGCTGTTCCACCCGGGTCAATAGGAGTGCTTATTGAAGTCCATGCCTACTTCCCATGTCTAAATTTGTCATTGGATTTCGTTTAGGACATTAATTTGTACCTCTACCAGTTGGTGCAAGCTCTTCGCTACGAGAATCACGAGGAGATAATGACGTGGTGTGAGGCGTCGAGTGAGTCCGTGGACGGCGAACACGACGACGAACAGAGGCAGATCTTCCTAAACGAGGCGACATACGATCAAAGCACGGGGATATTGCTTCAAAAGGGCAAACGTTCCCTCCTCGAATCTGACAGCATTCCATGGAAGGTACGTCGGATTTTGTGGCACCGGTAGTTCCTCCCGCCCACTGAGTGACTACTTTGCGCATGACTCATTAACACCTATCTGGATTGTTTGAATCTCACAGGTAAACGCCTGTTTAGATCCTCTTTTTTCTTCCCATTTCAGACCGATCTGGCCAGCTTCCTGATCCAAAGGGCTCAGAGCAACTTCGAGTTGGCGAACTACTTCTACTGGTTCCTGAAGTTGGAGACCCACGAGGGAACGCCCTCCGCGCCCGAAATCAAGGCTATGTTTGAGCATGTGCTCAAACGCTTCATGACAGTCTTAGAACGCGTAAGTCGTGGTTTCCTGTGGCGCCGAGGTAGTCACCTCAGTTCGATGACTGGAAAAATCAATTAGCACACGTTGCCTCCTTTGATAACGACGTTTAGTGGTTCCACAAGTTGGAGAAACAGGGCAGCAGTAACTTGTCATCGATCCGAAGTACGTGACTAATTGAACTAAACCGGGACGTGATGTTTGTGTGCGCATTTATGTAGCTAAAATTTTGAAAAGAACCCATGGAGTTAATGTGTTCAGCGTGTCCACCTCAAGGCGGGACCATCTTTGAGTGGTTATTTACTTTCTAGTTTTCTTTTAATGCTTTTACTCACATTTGTGTTGTTCACTTCTCTCTGGATCACCACTTAGGGCTCCGAGACGCAGCAGATTTGGCGCGCGGATCTGTTGAATCAAACGAAATTCGTGAAAAAACTTCATGCAATGCTACGAAGCGTGCAAGCTGACTCATCGAAGCGGGTTCGAAAGGTAGCCATTGTGTTAACACCGCTTATTGAATGATAACTTTCCAGAGTTGATTTGCCTCATGGTCTAATCGTCAGAGTTTTGCCCAGACAAGAACCGCCGCATTGTAGGGGCACAACGTAATCCCTTCACGATCGGTCACTTCATTCGAAGAGCACATGTTGTTTTAGTTTAGATTTAACCTCTGCTTCTTCTAAAAGGCTCCACTACTTCCTCCTCCCCCAGATCGAGATACTACGGAGCCTCCTGAGAACCGATGGGGCGTCGTTACTCAGATTTCCCAGACCACTTCCTTTCCCCATGAATCCCAACTTCCTCATCGCCAGTATCGACGCTAATTCAGCCACGCTATTCAAGGTAGGTCCGCGTTTCCTGTACCTGATTCTTCGAAGGCGCTTGCTCTGATTTACCCGAGTGTAATAATGGTGGAGTATGCGTGTGTTGTGGGCTTTAGCATGTGGTCTTGAACCACGCCGGGGCCACTGAATTAACTCTGGCCCGATTACGTTTCCCTGATAACCACGATGAAAAAAAGACGGGAGATGATGTGGACACAATCATTTACTTCAGAATTCAACCACGTAGGCATCGTTGTGTCGTGTGTGGGGTTTGTGCGTGTGTATTTATACCTCGGATGTGTGAGTCATAAATGCGTTAACATCGAGACCTAGGTGTGAGGGAAATCCAGGATAAATATTCGTGCAAATGAGGAGGGAGTTGAGGATCCGCGCGGCTGGCGACATGCTGCGACAGGGGGAACCCTGTGTAGGAGGTGGAGCGACCGGATGAAGGAGTGTGTACAAACGCGATCCATACGCGTTCATTTTTGCCGTTGGATGCTATTTTGATGATACTTTAACAAGTTAGTAATATCTCACTTGAATAACTAGCATTCCTCTCAAAGTATGGCGGTCGTCGTCCGAACGCATATCATGTGTGTGTGCGTGTTTGCGGATGGTTCACTAAGTACGCAGTAGACCACTCTGTCTCACTGCAATCGATGGAACATTCAAAGGAAGAAAAGTGACCAGTCTTATTATCAACTTGGAATCAGTAGGTTCGTGCCAAGATCTTGCACCACCTGGGCGACCAGTTAAAATTCCACAAGGCGAGCTCCGCAGCAGATTGGCGTCTCCTGTTGAGGTTCTTTGGAGAATCGTTGCACAATGCCCAATCGAGACCACACAACCCACAAGTCTTATATCGTTTTTGTTATTTTTTCCCCCCAAGAGCACAACTCAACCGGCTCTCCTCAGCTTGGTCTCCCCCGAAAAACACGTCTACCGTGTGATTTTCAAAATCGGAGATGACTTACGCCAGGACCAACTTGTGCTCCAGATGATTCGTCTGATGGATGTTGTAAGTTGCCGTGTTTGTGCGGCTGAGAGTAGCAATTCAACGTCCACTTGTTATTCACGCCCAGTCTGGAGCGTCTATGTGTGTTTCAGCGAAAATTGCCCTCAAAATACTAAAATCCAACCCGTTTAAACATCCTGATAAATCTTCTTAGATATCCCACCACCCATGTGGCACTCTCGGTTTTTCTCTCATTATCTCGACACTCTAGGTGCTGAAAAAAGAAATGTTTGATCTCCAATTGACTCCGTACAATGTTTTGGCCGCGAGCTGTCGTCACGGTAAGCAAAATTTCCAGGAGTCTTTTGCTGAATTCTCCTACCGCTTTCTAATCTCGCCGTTCGTCCTCTAGGTTTTATCCAGTTCGTTGAAGGGGTTCCACTAGCGAGCACGAAACAGGAGGGTTCGATTTTGACCTTCCTTCAGCGCAGAGCCCCCAGTCCCAAGGATCCTCTGGGCATCCAAAAGCGCGTTCTCGACACCTACATCCGGTCGTGTGGTAAGCCCGTCGTGGGATTTCTTACGAACGGTGAAATTCCCTACTCTCGTAATTTGAAATATTAAAGAAGCTTTTGACTAGATGAAAAGACGAGTCGACGGTGAGAGCTGTGCTATGACTAAGCCACTAGGATTTAAGCCGACAAGCCTCGCTTGGCACGCGGGAAGGCATGGAAAGAGGCCAACGAGGAGAATAATCCAGTGTTTAACAAGTTACTCTAATTCCCCCATGCAGCCGGCTACTGCGTGATCACCTACCTCCTTGGAGTGGGCGATCGCCACATGGAGAACATCATGCTCACTCCGGAAGGCCAGCTGTTCCACATCGACTTCAGTTTCATCCTCGGCAACGACCCGAAGCCCATGGCGCCAGAGGTGCGCCTCACCAAGGCCATGGTCGAGGCCATGGGAGGACCCAAGACGCAGATGTTCTACGACTTCTGGAAAATCTGTGTCACCGCCTTCCTTAGCTTGAGGAGGTCAGTGCCCTGTTGACTACTCGCAGCTGAATACTGCAAACTTGATGCTAGCTAATCAGGCAGAGAGGAGCAAGGTGGCTGTGACGCTAATCCATCACCTTCCTACTCACTTGCAGTCGGCCAAACTGTCCGAACTGCTCTTTATCTACAAGTACCACGAATCCTGATGAGCGTGTGGTTCTAGCGGAGCGAAGATCATTAGTTTACAGTCAATTGACTTAAATCAAGCGCATTTCGCATTGCCTTCGTAGGTGTTGTTGCCGTTGTGTTTAACTGTAGAATTTCATGCGGTTGGTGTGATGGCTAAATGAGTTGTTAGTTTGTCGTCCTTTAAACCTGGTTGGTCGTGGCCACCCACCTAACATTCTCGACTTTAAACTTCCCACACAACAGACACGCCAATCTCTTCCTGACACTCCTCTCCCTCGTGCACGACGCCGGCATCCACGACATCGCACGCGACCCCATCAAGGCGTGCGATTTTGTGAAGGAACGCTTCTCTCTGGACCAGACGGACGAGAAAGCCGTCAATCGTTTCGCCAGCCGTCTCACCGACTCGGTGAAGGCCATTGTGCCGGAGGTGATGGAACGCATTCACACTGTGATGCAGGTAAGCTTGCTGTGTTGCCCTTGTCCCCCCGTACCGAAACGCGGACGTATTTACTTCCTTTTGACTGCCGACCTCAAGTTGCCCGAAGAAACCTTTGGCGAGGTGGTTTGCCATAAAAGTCGGAATCGAGGTCTTGTTGGATAGATTTGCATCCCTAGTAAAGCCATTTCCGATCCATAGCCCATACGACTCCTAGCGGAGCTACTCCACTACCGAAATTTCACGCATTGATTTGATTTCTTTTGCTGTTTTAGTACATGCGCAACTGAATGTCCCGCGTCCATCTGTGTTTAGGATTTGCCAAAAAAAAACATCGTACACTCGTTTTATTTGTATCAAAAGCACGCGAGTAGGATTAAACGTGTAAAAAGTTGACGCTACCACCATGTCATTCCTCCATTTGGTCCTCACACGTTGTCCTCTGATTCCCGCTTTGTCTTTCCATTTTCTGAAACCACATCAATGACATCTTTTTACTTATTGCTATTTCAATAAAAAAGATTTATTTTTTACACGAGAATTGACTTTTACTGACGAGGGAAGGTGCCGTTGTGGGATTGCAAGATAATTCTGCAGTGCTAACGCCAATTTAAGTGAACCTAAATTGGGTGCCTGGCATCCTCTAGCGTTTCATATTTAGTCAATGATCTGTTAGGACAAGTTTTGCCAGTGCGGTTGCCTTCAGGACGATCTCTCGTCTACTAGCCACTGGCCGCTGGGTCTTACCTCTTGAATGGTGCTGTGGTATTCGCGTTTGCTGAAGGGGACCGAGGGTATTGTGTCGGTTAGTGTGAAGCAGCAGCCGGAGGGATATGCCGAGTCGCTTGAGTTATGAGGCGGGGTCTTGGGCGCGGAAATGGCCACAAAGTTGGAGTTAGTCGAATCTGGTCGGGCAAGGGGATAGGGCGCAGTGAGGCTTAGTCAGTGTCTTAACTCAAAACCCAGGGGGAATTTGACTCACCGAAGCTCTGCAAAATGTTGTAACAGTATATAAATGTGGCCAACTGATCCCAGCCCTCCCGCAGCAAGTCGAAGTCCAGCAGCCTTGGTGTTCGCGCATCCACTTCGTCAAGCTTCTGTTCTGTCCTCGATTCCTCCACACCCACCTCCTCTTTGTCCTTGTCCAGTTGTGCAACCGAGTTGGTGATGGGTGCAATTGCCCCACTCGGTCGATACAAACGGGGGGTGTCATTGTCAAGGCGGGTGTCGTACCGGCTGGCCGAAGTCGGAATTTGAGCTGACGACGAATAGCCAGTGTCGGATTTCGGCAGCAGCAGGGTTTCAAACGACACCCTCTTGGACAATTTGTCTTTTAGCCCAGGTGTGGCCGAGGACAGTTGTGATTTCTGTTGAAGCGACTTTAACGGTGTCGTTGTTGGCAGCTTGAAAACACTACTGTCACCTGCGTCGTTCGAATCCTTCGGCTGGAAGCTAGCGTCTTCAAAGTCGTCAAGTGACGTACGGAGTCTCATCTCCTTGGGCGTTCTAAATTCATTTGTGGTTGTAGTAGCAGCAGCCGAAAAAGAGGTATTGAGCGGGGTTTTGGTGGGTGTACATTGCTGACTGCTCTCCTGCCCTCTTGAAATTAATTTAAACGGCTCAGGTTGAGCTTCTTTGGGTGTGTTAAACACAAACGGAGATGGCTGTTTGAGTTCACGGGAAGCGGTGGATGTCGCCGAATGCACGATTGGCCTGGGTGCCAGTGGCGTGTGCAGGATTGAAGTCGATTGTCGTGGAATCTCGTCACAAGTAAAGGACTCATCCAGGTCCACGGGGAGCGATGTTGAGGGCAGAATTGGCGAATATGCGTAGCGCATATCCCCACCAACAAAACTACTTCCTGCCTTTTCTGCTTCCTCCACTGTGGAGAGAATCGAGCACAGTTCCCTCTCAACCGATTCTTCGACCTCAGCGTCGACTGTGTCACCAGGCTCAAAGGTTAGGCAACCGTTCCCCGTACCATCCAGTTCGACGTCTGAACCACCCAAAACTGACTGCTCCCACCTAACTTTCTTGAAATTCCTCTCGGGCTGGTCCGACTGAAGCGGGGATAATCTAAGGGATGGAGGGTCGCCCTGAAATGTGGTGCTGCGTGGGGTGGTGGCAATGGGAACGCCCGGAGTTGAATTCGTCGATACCCGAGGCGTCGTCTCACTGCGCGGAGGAATGAAGCTGGGTAGCTTTGGTACGGGACTGATTTCCAGCGCCCAGTCAGCGAGTTTGTTCTGAGGCACCTTCAGTTAAGGCAGAAGAACAAAGTAACCACACAAACCAAACCCAGACAACCACCTTCACGTCTAGTTTTCTGGGCAAAATTTGTTCCAATTACTTACTGAAATGCCTGAAAGGCCACGTACCTGTTCAGACAGCGATTTGGTTGCCTTGAAAAAGCTCAAAATATTCGTCTGTCTAAATCCGTCGTCAGAAACCTTCGGTGTCGACATGGATGCCACCAAGCTGCTGGAGTGCTTCGCCTTCGCTACTCTAGGACTACAGAGAAGTAAGACCATCAGTCGTAGCTTGACCAAGGAAAGATCTTTTGTATTTTACAACACGAAATTGACGCTTACATTCTGGAAACGTTAATTTCACTGATGGTTACGTCATTACATTCGGTGTGTGACTTATTCTTTGCAAGCTTTTCAGCAAAATAATTTAGTGTAAAAAATAGGGAATGACGACGGAACCAATCTCGAAAAACTTACCATTGTTTAATACGACTTTGCGCCAACTCTCAGGCTATATGGGGACTTCAAGACAATAAAGTCTTCGACAAGGAATTCGCGCAAAGCGTCCCGCGTTTTGAACAGTTTACCCCATCCCAAGTTCAAGAGGGTCTTCTGAGTCTAGCGAGCAACGTGAGATGGTAGAGCGTTGTCATGACCTGCCTACTTCCCTGCCCAGTAAATGGCTTATTTAGATCAAGTTCGTTGCCCAGTTTCTTCAATTGTCAGCTGCAGCGTTCCGCAGTCACAACCTGATGACCAGTTTCCAGGAGTCCACAAGAAACCACACCCTTCATGTTCCCCCGCCAGATACACAGGAGAACTTCCTCCAAGTGGTAAGGCATGTGTGTTCGTACGTTGTGTTCGGTCAAGACATGTCATGGGTTCCAACTTCCAAGTTTTTGTATATTTTTAAGTTTGGCGCAAATGTTTGGTGCAAACGCTGTTTAGCTGACTCCTAATTGAGCCTCATGCACTTGATGCGTTTGAGTTGAGTCTTCATCCAGTAGAGCTTGCAGTTCCACACCTTCAAACTTTCGAGGCTGCTGTCCGGTGCGTGGCTGATCACTCAGATCGAAATCACCACTTCCAAAACGTTTGCACCAATAAAAACACGTTTCCTGAGACACAACGTCGACACTAAGAACACTGCAAATTGATTCCCCCGTGCTGCGGAAGCATTTTTCCCTTGAGTTGCCATCGTAAACTCCTCTATGTAACTCATGTAGACTTGCCTTTCAGTGTTCTGAAGCCTTCTATGCGATGTTTTCAAAATCACAAAAGTCCGAGTTAATGTTTCCGTTTAAAAATAAAACAAATTAGCTCGATAAAAAAATCGAACACTGCTAACACCCATGGTTATACTAAAACGAGCTCAAAATCGGTTCCAGTGATAATCAGACCCACATCAAAATGCGGCAGAAATGCACAGCAACAATTCTTACGTCTGGCGTTTTCGCGCTTTTGCAGTTGTCACGGGGCCGAAGGAATTCGAAAGATATGGACTAACTGTCACTGGGAGGGGCTGACTAGCACCACCGAACTCCTGGTTGTCGTGGAGACTTCGATCGGCCCAAGGAATCGGGAAGTGGATGTTTAAATCAATGCCCACTGTGGAAAAGAAGACGACAATGCCAGCATCACGTGGTACGTTGTCGAGCAAAGCTAACTTCACCAAACCTACGATAGTTGAAGCTGATGAGGCTGGTGAAGAGTACGGTGACTGCTGGGTCATACATCAATACAACGCGGCGCGACCACTGACCTGCTGATTCAATTGCTTTGGTCCTGCAACAAACACAACCGCATGCTCACTATGGTAAAGCAGTGAATGGCAGAACCATCTGCGTCGTTGAAAGACCTCTTAGCGAGTTCGACCAGGCTGTGAAAGTCACTCCAGGAAACAGCACTTACGAGAGCACACATTTGAAGATGATGTGGTTGAGGTTGTCGGCGACAATCAACGCCACCTGGTCGTGGTTGCAGGGCCGGGCCAAACGAACCGTGAACTCAAACTCGACGCAGTTTTCGGAGCTGCTCGCCACCTTGGTAGAGGAAAAAGAATTGTGTTCGCGATTAGTGAGCATGGTGTAGTAACCTCGACAATTCACCTAGGCGGTAGGCAATTGGTTCCCGCAGGGTCTAAAGGTTGAGACCTTATGTTACGACATTTGAATCCCCGAATCAGAGAAGACGTCACAGCGGAAGAAGCCCAGTTGAGGTGTGTCTCGCTAAGGCCTTCTTAGGAGGGCCCAGAACACGAGCATTTGAAGATATCTGGAAAATCTGCCTTACCGCACTCCTGCTAATCTCTTAAAGTACGATATTTTTACTCAAATCTGCGCGAATTCTACGTTTTAGGGGCAAACGTAATCAGTCACCACCATTTGCAAAGAGCAAATAATTGTCAACGCAGACTTGAGCTGATGAAAGTTGGTCTTAAATTTTAACACCAATTGTGATTCACAATCCTTAATGCGGTCGCTACATTTGCCGCCACACCGTCTTTCTTATCACGGCATGCCTTTCAACCGAGTGGAACCTCAACTGACACCTCGTTATTGCGAACGAGCATCCTGGATTGTCACTACGTGTGCGATAACATTCACCCAGGTCTTGATATTTGCGCCATAAATGCACACGCGCAAACCCCACACAACGACACCAACGAGGTTAAGTCCTGAAATAAACGGTTGTGTCCACGTCCTCTCTGGCCTTCTTCGTCACCGTGGGTAGGGAGGTAGCGTAATCGGGCCAGGGTTGACATCAGTGGCCCCGGCGTGGTTAAGGACCACATGCAACAAATCCATATCGAAATTCCATAATGCAACTTTTCACACATGTACACCAATAAAGATATTCCTACATAATCGTTGATAAGCATGTGGTTAGTATTGCCAAATATAATACTCGGGAGGCATAACTAGCGGAAACTAATCCGATATTTTTAAAGTGGATTGGCACAGGAAAAGTTGACTTTTTTCTCTCATGTCAAACGTGTGTTCATTAAAAAAACTTGTCGCTGTGATTAATCAAGCTGGGTTTTGCAGTTATTGGCATTCAATTAGCAGTTTTCCTAACTTCAAAACGACCTGACACACTGTAGGTCTATTTGATGAGGGGAGAGTTGAAGATTTGCCAGATGGAGATTTATGACTCATTGATAAATCACTCCATATTCCCACCGGAAGGAATATATCACCAGTAGCATTCAGGCAAGAGAACAAACGAGATCCGATTAAATCTTCTAATAATTCACAAATTTCATACTTTTTCCGTCGCGAATTTCGGCTCGCATTGAACTGATGCCCCTGTGTCCCTGATTAGCTATTGGTAAAGCGCAAGATAAATTATCGCTTTTCTCCATATAATCAACTCAAATGACTTTAAACATTCACTTGCTCGACAGATGTGTACTGGGTCGAGGAATAAGTCATTACGAGAGCATTACGGCATCATGCGTCAATACAACAAAGGAGTACAGGGAAAGTAATTTCGTTGACGTTTTGGCGTCGACAGGACAAGAGGTGCGATTTACTCAACACTGACGTGGATCTGATAACAGTTGGACGAATTTTGAGCCACCCTGGCGTCGCCTGCCAATAGGAAGAAAGCTAGACAAATTTTTAGCCAATAGGAAAGTTGGGCTAATTTTGAGTCAATCCGGAGACGCTCGCCAATTGGACAAAAGCTGCAATCCAACCAATGACAACGTGGGAATACAAACAGCTGGAATTGAAGCCATGAAAACGTGAAAACCAACAATGGGACATAAATTATCAATTGGGATCGGGTTTTCTTCTGCGCAGTGATCAGACTTAGGGGAACAGCGATGATTTATTCCTCAACCCGACCCAATCTGATGACCTCTCTACCAATCCCTTTGCAAGTAAATTCAATTCCCTAACGGCAGCCTAGTGAAAAACAACAAACCTGCTCTGCAGAGAGTTCATATTTCGGCACTGCAAGTGCACTCTCGCAGATGCCATCACCAAACGGAGGTTTACGGCGCAGGATCTACAAAAATAGAATTTAACCCCGTATTACGCGACGGAATTACCTTCGACTAACTAGTTATATGCGAAGATGTACTCACTCGAACAATAACACGTCCCTAATGATTATAAATTTCTATTAAAGAGGACTGTTTAGCAGGGTTCTTCGAGGGGGGGGGGGAATAAACAAAATTCACTTCGAAACATTTGCTGATTCACACGAACGGAGCGGGCGAAACAATCGGTAACACCATACTGTTGATGTGATGGTTTAAGGACAATAAAAAACAATTATCACTGCTGACAACTTAACTAAACACTTAATAGTGGTAAAGATTAGTCAGTAACGTGGTTCAAAAAACAACCAACCTGAGGGCCACAACCGGGTTCTGCTCACTGCCATCCTGAATAAGCTTAACAGGGTCGTTGGTGCGGTAGTGAGCGACTTTTTCTAACATCACTAGCAGATACTTAAACGATTGACTGATTCTTAGGCTTGCATTGTAAAAAAAGGAAGCAGTTGGTGTGAACTCATTCAATCACCGACTGTCAACTAAGCGACATGTGTCCTTGAGAAAACGCATTTAAACAAACGGACAAAACGAGCAGGACACGTCGCCGACTTCAATAAGAGTTTGATCGAATGTTACCGAGAAAAAAAATCAGCGGTGTCATTGACGGTTTCGAATTCACAGGTTCGGGCAAGGGGTTTCCAAGCTCTAGAAGATCGGCATCTGGTTGTAAGCTGGAAAGCAATCAGATAGGTGAAAGTTTTTTGGGCCGACAGTCAGCGAAAGTCCACAAGACGAGCTTCCCACGGGGTTGGCGATCCCGATTAAAATCAATTGCTGGGTTATTGTGCAATGCCTACACTTCCGACAGAGCATCTTCCTACTCCACTTGCCCTGAAAAACGTGTCAAACTGGTAGCGGATCCTCGTGCCGCTCGCCTTTTTATGGAACCTCCAAGTGCATCGACAGCAGCGATCGGCACTTCGAGCATCAACCCGATTCAGGATGCAACTTACTTGACGTGATTAGGCACGCTCACACAAAAGGGTGCTACCTGTTCAATCCGTCTGGGTCCAGCCTTCTCAATGTCCTTGAGCGAGACAATGCCGGCGCCGGAGAGTTGGTTGGCGTAGTCCTTGCCGAGATCAGGCAGCTGCCGAAGCGAGGCCAGCGGGGCGTCGGCCCAGAGCCGATAGGAGACCGACTTGGCCAATTCGATGACGTGCGCCATGCACGAGAACCCCGATGAAGCCGGTGCTGGATTGGCGTCCAGTTGGTTGTCGGAACCAGCGTCCCCTCCGCTTGAAGACGCTCCCCAGAGCAGATTGCGGAGGCCTGTGAGAACATACCATGTCATGTGGACGTGGTGTTGACGCAATAAGAACTTATCCACAACTAAAAATTCACTTAAATGAGCCATTGTTGATCTCTATAACAATAGTTCCGGGAGGAAACAACTAGTGCAGTTGAAAAATACCCGAAAATGCTACCAGGTCGGCACGTATCTTCAAGAATCGCAAGTATTGCCTGGTTTGGATAAGCATAGACGTATTTTTCAAGACTATGCGTACGTAAGAGTTGACATATCGAGCGTTTGCGGTAATCAGCCGTTGATACCCAGTTGGAGTTAAGTTGACGCTAACGCCGCATGACAGCTAGCATCGTAATATAATCGAAAATAACTTCGGGTTTTTGAAGACGAAACGCACTACCTACGTCCGTGAAAAGAACAATAAATGACTGGTTATTACTTAAATTCGATCAGAGTGCTTGGGAAGTAACCGAATCAGACAAACGAGGACATCTTCAGAGTTGAAGTTGAAGTTTTGGAGTTAGAGAGAAGAGTTTTTTGCAGGTTGTGATCATGCATCGATTCACACTCGTTAATCCGGTCGCTCTAGCCCTCGACATTGTGTCCTCTTTTCGCAACATATCGTCAGCCGCGCGGATCCTCAACTCCCCCTCATTAGCGCGAACAATTATCCTGGATTACCACCACACCTAGGTATCGATGTTAGCGCATCTATGACCCTCGCTGTCTCGCAAGTATCTGAGGTATAAATACACACGCGTAAACCCCACACACGACACAACGGCATCAACGTCGAATTAAGCGGTTTTGTCTACACATCCTCTCCGGTCTTCTTCTTCATCGCCAGCTCAGGGGGGCCCGACATGGTTCAAGACCACATGCTGGGGTCCTCAGCTGGAATTTGGCTTCAGGCCAGGAGGCGATTTGCCAAAAAATGCAAACACATACAAGCATATAGGTTAGCGGAATGCGTCAGAGGGGGAAATGTCGATGATCATTCGACTTACCGACGGCACACCGGGTGAATATTTTAATGATCCTGCTGCTTTCCTGATGCAGGCTCGAGTCCAGCACGATGAAGTCGTTCAGTTCGGCCTGCAGGAGGGTGACGACTTTTAACTGTGCACTCGTAATTCTGCCCTTCGTGGGGTATCTACGCGATTGCAGAAAAAAACACAAAACTTGCTTGTAAATTTCAATTGGAGCAGACGAACAACCCAAACCACGAGGGAACAACGCAAAGACGCTCTCTGGGTGTAAGGAGTTAGATCTGGAGTAAAACGTCTGAATGCGAGTTCGCAGCATTTATCGAATCGCCACAACCTTGGTGAGTCGTTTGAGAATCTGCATCAAACCTCTAGGCACTTCATAAATGTGCCGAAGGCCTGAACATGCGGCCTTGAACTGAACCTACGAGACTAAGAAGACCGGAGATACCGGAGACGACCATTTACTTGGTGGCGCGCTCAAGCCGCGTTGACTAATTGGGTGAATTTGTAAAAGTACAAATGGTGGATTAGTGAAACGGGCAGCAGTTAGGGGGGGACGTAAGTACACGCACTGCGGGGCACTAACAACCGTTCCGTTGCGCTCCGAGTATGCAACGGCCGGGTTGATTGAAGTGAGTCAACACGAAATGTGACATATGCTATCTTGCTTTATGGGTCAATCACAAGTCGGATGCGAGTATGTGAAGAACCGTTCCGTGACATGTGACATGTTATCTCCGTATAACCCTCTGATTTACCATTCTGGTCTTGCTGGAACACTACTTAAAGTCCCCCATAGTGCTTAGCGATTAAACTTGCTGTGAGCGTTAACTGTGTAACGTGTACAGTTTACTCTACTTACTGTCGTAATATTTATTGCTTGTGGACAACCACCATTCAAATTTGCTGTGAGGGATTGTTATTGGTGTCGCTTTGTTTTACTCCACTGGTTTTGATGAAAAACTGTTCAAAGTGTATGATTACCACTACCGAACTGACCTGGTTGTTCTTCGATTCCAGAGCGTATACTCACTATTACTTATGCTGGTGTTATTTACAACACTCAGACAAACTAAGAAAAACGAACAAATAAGCTTTTACTGATATGGTTTCCACGGGGACGCAAATTTGCCTTGTGAAATTTCAAAGAGTAGAGGCGCTAATAACATTCAGGTAAACTATGAGTCTCACGGGAAACTCGGTTACTTCACGTCCTGACATGATTGACACGGACCAGACTCCGTGGCACCAATCTGATTTCACATAGTGGGAGTGCTCACCTCCATGGGTTAAATCGAAAGGCCGTGCTACGCTACCATCAAACTCGGTCATTTATAAATGAATGATTGAAAAAAAAACAAGCTACAAGCGTTGGTAGCATATTAAGTGCCTCTAAAACGGATTTCCGAGTTCCCCTCCTGAGTTAGACTTTCATTTACAAACTTGGATAGTCAAGAAAGTGTCTATTTGTGCCCGGAAACAACGTGTAATGTGTAGATGCACAAATTCACAGAGCTGTTGGTATTTGACACTGAAACCGTAAGGACTTCCCCGCTCAACCGACCATTCAGTCATTTCCACCACTACTAACTCATCCAACCTGAGTTGGTCGACACACATGACAAACACTCCGCCATCTCTGGTCCCCTTAGTCTTTTCGGGCATCTGCATAGGGTAGTGGAACCAAGCAAATTGTGCCTGGAGCCACGTGCAATGTGTAGACACTGACACTGAACCCATCAGGTCTTCCCTGCTCATCTGACCATTCCGTCATTTCCACTTCTACTAACTCATCCAACCTGAGTTGGTCAACACACATGACAAACACTTCGGTTTTATCTCCGCCATCTCTGGTCATCTTAGTCCTTTCGGGTATCTGTATAGAGTAGTGGAACCAATCAAATTGCAGCTGCCCCGGTGTAGTTCAAGATGACATGCCGGGGCCTACCAACATAGAAGGCAGGCCGTGGTAAACTCCAGCTCACCTGAGTCGTTTAACTCCAACTGCCTTATTTATTTGATTCAGTTGGCTTTTCTCTTGACTCCGGATGGAGATCTCTTGCATTTCGGCGCATCCCGCAATATAGTGAATCTGCCAGTATAAATGTCATTGAGTAGAAGAAGTGCGAAAGGGAATTGGCTCAAAGAGGGGTACAACTCACTAGGTCAATCAGTGTTTCAGTGCCGGTAAGGCGCAGAAACGACTCCACGGTGGTGAAGGAGAGAAAATGCTCACACATCAATCGCCCCACGACTGAATAACAAGTATGGTTAAAAAAGACACTTCTGTACTTTTGGGAACAATGGAATTATCCGCTGAGGAAACCTCCACTGCTCCAAGCGATTCCAACTTTTCAAGAGCGTCTACACAAAGACCTTTAAGGGGAGTCTGTACCGACTCAAAACGACAGACATACGGTCTAGCTCGTTGGAGAGTTGGCTGCTGGAAGGGGACTTATGCAGCCCGTAGAATTGCGGGTTCTTTTGCAGACGCACCGCGAGATACGTCTTCGCGATCCACTTCGCCATGTCCTCGTGGCTCTGGATTTGGCCCAACGCTATTGCCACGTTAAGGTGGTCTGTTAGGCATGTGTGAAGACTGAGGTGGAAGGTCAGATTAAGGCAACAACGAGGGAAATGTACCTGCTTTCAACGTTATCAACATCGTCTAGCCAATTCTCATAATACTCCTGAAATCACAAGGGTAATTTCGCCACAAGTCGAATGAGCTTACTTTTTTGTCTAAAGTAGTCATGATGATGGCGGTTCCCGAGGTGTCAAACTAAAAATCAACAGGGATCATCAAATTCCCCATCCACACCACCAACTTTATTAATAGGTATTTCAACCATGGTGTTAAATAAACTTGGACTTTTAGTGTGCAGACTGAATTGAAACCAATTGCATGTCTCTCTTTTGTTCCACAGACGCGCACCGATTTCCAGAACTGTTTGATGATTCCGCGGATGGATAAATTTCTCGTCTTCCTAAAGCTATTACATCACTTCCATGTCACAATCCAAGAATTTGGAATGAATGGCCAAAGTGAGTGTGAGGAAGGTGCCGAGGTTTAGCACCGTTTCTATGCAATTTGCCATTTTGACGGGTAGTTTTTCACAAATTCCTCTACTCTTCTTAGAGGTTAACAACACAAATCCCAATTAACCAATTAGTTCAGCGTAAGTAGCTCAATTTAGAGGACCTAGCACGGCATTTTCACTGATGATTGATTCGATGAAGGCGTTCTCACACTGACATTTGAGTTTAATGAATTTTTTCAACCTACACGGAGCGCGATTATTGTAAATCCAAACCACTCCAACGGATTTCGAGTGGCCTTAACGACGTCTGTGTAAAATCTCACACTGCGTGACTGCATATCGCTGGTTTGGTTGTCGTCAAATATTGGTTTTTTGCCTTTGCGATAATGCAAGAGCTAAATTGGTCAAATACGGTGGTTTAAGAATTGTGTTTTTTAAAAAAAATTCAAAGACAAAAAGGAAAAAATCTAATCTGTTACAGGTAAAAAAAAACATAGCAGAACACTGAAAAAGGTGCCATTTCATCTAAACGTGAAAGTACCTATTTTGCTAAGCAGTTAAAACGTTTCCAAAATTATTTGCACCTGTTACAACACCTGAAAATTATGTGATGATTTAGATCGAATTTAAGTGGACCAGAAAAGTGGAAAATCTGCATCTTTTTATAAATGGGCATCACGGAGTCAGAATTTATCAGTTAAAACAACAATCTGTCACGTCCTGTGAACACAGACTCACAGCGTACCTGTGGTCGACCGGCTCGACCAATCATCTGCAGCATCTGTCGGCTGCCGTATTCTTGAGGCTCGCCATTAATATATAGAGCAGTGTTCTTTATGATAACCAGGTGAGCTGGTAAATTAATGCCCATTGACAACGTACTGGTGGAAACTGAGTAAGAATTGATTTTTAGAACAGTCAAAAACGGTTTACCGAGCACAGAGATACGACACTCTATAAAGTACTTTTCCACGAGGCGTCGATCGACTGGGTCAATGCCGGCATGGTGAAATCCAACTCCCTTGCGCAAACATTCTGTTAAGAGAAAATAAGGAGTTAGATTTTAAAATATGTGTCATAATATACTCAATAACACCAATTAACATTAAACGTTCATGGTCAAATACCACCAAATAGCTAAGTTTCGTGCTTGAAAGTAAAAAAAAAGAACTTCACCTTTAAGCAAGCCCTCGGAAACACTGTTGATAAGTTCTTCGGGTACAATTTTACAAGGTAAGCCCTCACGCGCCAACCATTCAGCTGTATTTTCAACAGTTTTTCTAGTTATACTAAACTGAAATTGGTTAGCTGTCACGGCTTGGTACTATAAGTGTTGGACGATAATTAGAATATGAGCGTATAATTGGTGCCAGTTTCCTGGTAAGAAATTGGTCGAACTGAAATAATGAGGTTTGTTTGGACTTTTGAAATCCTAGAACAACCTTTGTGATCGGAACGGGGCGGAATTGAGGTCCAAAACTAAAAGGCCATTCCACCTGTAAAATGCCTTACCTTCTACACAAACACAGGCGACTTTCACTAGATAGCCATTGTGCAATCTAATGTATCAGGATAATCCTTCAGAACCTACATCAGCATTATTAGGGCACGTTGCGGATACGGCAATAACCCTCGGCTGAGACGCCAGCAAACGCGAAACAACTACTTCCAGACACGCTCCACGTGACTGATCAGCTACAGTGTGAATCTAGGTCAATATAAAACAAAGCAAAACGAAGAAAAACCTCATCCAACATGAGCAAACGTATCCGAGAAGCAAAGTTTTTCATGTCCTCCTGCGACCGAAATAAACTGTCAATTTTCTCTGGAGTTGCAATAAGAACACTGTAATCCGATAGCTCATCAGTGCTATAATAAGGCGAGTCAGATGTCAATTCGAGGCAATTATAACCCAAGTCACGAAGCTTAGATTGCCAGCCGGCCAGACGCTCGGAACACAGGGACTTCAGTGGTGCAACTAAATGCCGATAACATTCACATATTAGTTACGATATAGTGAAATAGATCGATTTTCCAGAGGAAGCAGATCCAAATTAGTTAAAAACTTGCAGAGTGCAAGCTCAAATATCAACGTCTTCCCGCTGCCAGTTGGAGCAGAAACAACAAATGAAAAATCTGTTTCCAGAATCTACCAAAGAGCAGGATGAGACAAATTAAATTGTACCTCAGCTGCCATTCTTTCTTGCATATCATTATAAGAGGGATAGTCGAAAAACTGGTGGAAGTGGGGAGGTACTCAGCAGTTAAGGAAAACAATGGCAAATAGAGTAAGAGTCAAGTGCAGCTATGCATGTAAAACACGGCACACATATAGGCAAATGAGTAAAAGAAATGTGATTAAAGATTTGAACTACATTAATCATATTGTCAGACAATACCAAAATTATTCACAACTATGTGACACCATGAGAACATTATTTAAACCATCATTTAAGCGCATAAATTTGTGTTAGTAAGTTAAAATAATTAAAAACTGACAGCACTGGAATGTTCACCAGACAGCATACTGTAGAACAGCAGCCTCAATTTATACAGTGGCATATTTAAAAAAAAGAGACACTTGCAAACGCGGGTAGAAATGATTTGCATGTATCAATAATTTACCAGTAACGAGAGGTACAAAATTTCTTTATTTTATAAGTTATAACGTCTAGTTTACAATACAATCAAGTTTATTTGCCAAAATAATTACAAACAAACATTCTTTTTTAAAAATTAAAAAAAGACAATTAAAACGAATAATTCAAAGGATATAAATATTGCACAAAATATCACGGGAACCCATCCTAATTAAATACCTCGCGGACCTCGGAAAATTAACATGTGAGATAAATTAAACAAGCGACAAGAACCAGCATCCGAAGGACTAAGGACAAAAGATTAATAAATTCTGTTTAATTTATATTTCCTAGATCAATAAGCAACAAAAAATGTAAGTGAAAAGTAACAATTTCAAAATATACTACGCAGAATGCGTTTTACTCAAAGTCTAGGTGAGTGTGGAAGAATTGTCTATGACCTGCAACAATCGAATATTTTCGCGGATCATTGATCAACCAAAAAATTATCTTTGTATAAAGTTTTTCATATAGAAATAGGCTTCAAAAAGATCGAACCCTAACTCGTCCCAAAGCTTCCATTTCGTAAAAGGTTTTTCGCGTTAAAAGCGAAAAAAGTCCTCTTGTACGTTTTGCCTGGAGATTCATAAAGCATATTATGGCAAAAATACTCAAACAAACCATTTAATTTAAATGGTCTGCTATGAAATTATTTCGTCCCAGATAGCCTAAAGTAATATGACCATATTTAACATATTACTCATTTTTAGCGCTGAATTGCCTGTTGTTTATGTTAAAGTTCGCCATTTCATTACAAAAATCTTACCTAATTGAGTTATTACTCTTGGTCATTTAGTTACGCATAGTATGATGATGGGACACGCAGGCTATACCAGAGCAGATTTTGATTGATTTTGCACATACTGTTACAAGATTTGCTCCTGTTACTCGCCAATTGAAGTTCCAATGCTATGCAGATATCCCATTTTTATATGGTTCACTGTCTTGAGATCCATCATATAAGTGTTTAAACTCTAGCGCATTTTGTATAATCCCGTATTATCTTCACAACATTTTTCTTTTCTATCTGTATTGATTTTTGCGATTTCGCCTTGCAAAACATCGAACATTGGGAGTGAAATATTTACATATCCGGACCAGGAATTATAAATACACTCCTCCCAAACAATGATGATGCATTACATCCTTAACAAGACACAATTAATGTCATTGAAACAATTACCCTTTACAAGTTCACCTGCACTCCAAAGGTTAAAATTCATTTCTGGCCTGTATTTTATGCTCACATTTGAGAGTTACATACTCACACGATGAAAAACACAAATGAATGCCTTCTAAAATGTGTTTCTCTCTTTATGACTCGATATTTTTTTTATTTTATTTTATGTTATATTTTTTCAACAAAGTGTAGTGTAGCGGAATTATTCACGTCCATCCGACCTGTCGCTGCATTATCAAACTCACAGGTAGTCCGGTGGTCATATCAGTCCTCCTTTTTGTGAGCATGCAAGGTCGCATGATCATTTATGCCTGTGCTTGTACTACCAAAGTATCCGTCGTTTTTTTCCGACCATCAAGTAATTTGTGTTTATGCCGGTCTACATGCGTTACATAAGTCAACAAAAATGGATAGGTCACACAATACATTTAATAAAAGGACACGGCGCATCACTATTAAGTTAGGCTCTATTGTGAGTCCTGTCTCTGCCATTTCTGGTTTCTCTGTAGTGTTCTTATTATACACAACAGTTTCGGGGTGATTTGAGACCACATTCCTTGGCCTTTTAAAGCAGAAATACAAATAAAACATCAAAAAACATCTTTGTTCAATTTCGAGCAAACAAATTTCAGAATGATGTCCAAAATTCTGCATTTAATCAAGTGAAATTGTTTGCTGACATGCTGCTATCTCTAGTTGTCTCAGAAAATAGCGATTGTGCACCTTAAACATTTAATGCGGTACAGGTACATGGAAATGTACCTTGGTACCTTCGACAAGTTCCAAACTCCAAACAAAATGTGGCGAGCCTTAATGTCATTCAACTGTGCAAATAAAAGTTGTTTTTGACATTGTTTGTCGTCAGATAATGGTTACTGCCTAGTTAATTTTAAGAAAAAATTGATTGATCAAAACTGTTGCAAATAACTACACTACTCAGTATTAAATAAATAGAAATAGTTAATGATAGTTGAACTTTATGAAAATTATAAAGAAAGTAAAATCTAGTAACTTAAAATATCGATTTAGATTATTGGATTGCATGACTGTTCCGCAAGATATTTAAATATCAACGTAATTTTCCTTTTGTGTCAGTGGCCCAAAAATGCGAGTACTGCGGCTTAATGTAACGAGTTTATTTCAGCAGGGGCGCGTCCGATTATCGAGAAAATTACACATGGTATAGAGTTTGCTCCTGTCGATTTTGCTAATCACAAGACTTAACTAAACCATTTAATAAAATTAAACCTACTCATAATTAAACTGACTCTCGGTAGTCATTCTCCTTATAAACGGTGAAGACAGGGTTTCGGAATTCAATATTGAGAATGGAATTGTAAATCCTGCTCCAGCCTTTGTAGTACACAAGAATTTTTTGATAAGTCAAAGCCGAATACCCACAACGGATGCTGCTCAATAAACCGTTATAAACTTCGGAAACTATTCAGAAACTGCAGCGCACTCCAAAAAGAACTTTGGACAATGTAGATGGGTGGATAGACACCAGTCCCAGAACTTTAATGCGACATAAATCGAAGACGTTTAAATTTGCAATTTAGAGTCCGCGTGTCATTCAAACGACTTTGTAGTTGGCTGTCATCAAGCTTCGAGGCCTCGCCGTCGCTTTAGTGCACATTTAAGATATTCGCACGTATTTTAACGTAATGGAACCTACCGATTCCGTATTCCGCTATATTTACACGAAGGAGGAACTTCTTCAAATTCGTGATGAATATATGAAACACGAAGATCTTGTTCGATTCCCCGTGAGTGCAACCTTACGTCGTTGTATTGTATATGACTTGCCCTGTAGAGTAAATCTAGTTGGATTTATGCAAACCGTCATGGTATTTGGTCTAAGTGTTTCTCGACTCTTGCTCCCAGTGACATTAATTGGTGATAATTGGTTCATACTTTGCCAACTGACATTTAAATTGACGTAGGTCCATCTTTCGTCAAAAACAAAGATGATTTTGTTTTTATCGTGCTCTTCAATACATTTACGGAATGCAATGTGTTTCGTCAACTAAAAGTGTGTTTCTTTGTCTGCCTCTGCTCGCAACTCTTCGCTTTTTCGTCTCAGAAACAGTGTTGTGCGGTCTGTACACAGAAGGTGTTAATCAGCCCTTGAATTAGCAAACCAGTCCTGAGGTTGCTGAAATAAATGCTACTAGAATGTTCGTTAAGAGGCATCAATTACTGAATACGGTGACTCTTCCCCACTTTTCGAACTCTAGTTGTATTGAGTTTTTCACATGCATTTTTTTTAAATATTAGGTTGCACCTTCAATTATTTCCTTGGAGCCCGAAGTGAGATTACCGTATCGTAAAGGTAAGTCGACACACCCGCTTTATTACTTTCTAGCGCGCCCGCCAAAGCATGTCGATGTGTTTTTCGATGCGAATTCTCAAATGTAAGTTTTTACACGTTTTATTGTAATTGATTTCCCATTTCCACCTGCATAAACTTATGTTACCTTTCGCAACTCTTTTTCCCTATTAGGCTTGCCACTTTTCATCACGATAGGTGGGTGGCCCTTTGTTACCTTGTCTGTTCTCCATATGGTTGAGGGTAATATGCAAACCTCGTCTGCTAGACGGTTTTTTGTGTCAGTGTATTTGGGTTTTCTCGTGTTATTCTAATCAGTTGAGCGTTCATTAGAAAATTTTGTAGAGATTTTATCAATATACCTCGAACATCGCTCCTGGGCGTTTGTACAGTTGCTGATTCTCTGTGCATTTTGCCGCTTCTGTTTAGAGCTTCAGCTAGATTCTGTTAAAATTTCTTTAAAGTGTTGAGCATGGATTAGACTATTCAAGTATTACCTCATTATTATACTGCAACTGTTACTGTCAGCTATTTTACTATTCACCCTCTAAGCCTCAAATTTCGGTAATAATGGAAGCATTTATCAAACCTGACCTGCATTTTGTTTCCCTTCTCTCGTCCCATTCGTGTTTAACAAAATTCTTGACTACTTCACCGTTAGGCCGGAGGATTCACCTCAAAGGGGCGGCGATGAATGTCCAGGTGATCCGTCGCAGCAGCCACCCAGCTGGCGCCGGAGCCACAGGTTATCGGGAGGCACACCGCAATCACCCCTGGACAGCACTGGCGCCCCAGGCAATCAGCGCCACAACTCGGGCAGCTCCGGCGGT